CCTTCATGCACCTTGTGCTGAGTCAAAGTCTACCATGGACACATCTGACTGAGCCATCCTCGCTCACACATTTGTATCCTGCATGAAAGCGAATCTTGGAAACTCAGAATACAGCATTTCCAGCTACTGTACTGTAAGTTGCTTTATACCTTCCTGCAATATCCAAAAGAATGAGGATCTCCGCATTACAGAAGAGGCTTCATATGCTGCTCATACAAAACAAATAATGAATGTCCTTTTTGAAATGACATCCATGAAGCAGTGGATGCAGCCTAGGAGAGAGGTGAAGAAAATATCCCTGAAAACGGCAAAGAGAAATGTGAAGATGACAGATGTTCCACAAAGCCTGGAGAACAACTGGACAAGACTAAAGCAGGAGATTTAAGGACTATATTTCTGGAAGAAATTTTCCAAGAAAAAAAAAAAAGAAAGAAAACTCATAGATTATTTGACAACTTCGATTTAGTGGAAAATGGGACAGAGAAGTGTTGGGGAGTGTGGGATGCATAGACATTATAAAAAATAACAGCAATAATAAAGATAAATTAATTCTTCAAAATATAAACAAAAACATTTTTGCTCAACTTAGCTCTGAATTAAACCATATATGCATAAGCCATGATAATTAAAAACTTACTAAGGATTCAACTAGAATGTTAAAAAATGGAGTTGGTTAGATGGGAGGAGGAGAAATATATATCTGTGAGCAGGATATCAGAGTGTGAGAGAGGATTAAAAGGGCTAAATACTCAGTTTCCACAGTAGGAAATTAATAATATATCTAAAATTAGGAAGATATTAAGAAAAGTTATTTTGAAACCTAGAGCTAAACACCAGAGAAAATGGCTAAAAGATGTGAAAGTGGAACCTCTTGGGGATTAGGGAACTGTTGTGAGGTGGATGGACAGGAGATTTCAGTTTTATACCTTACATTGTTATCTTTTAATTTTTAAACCATTTCTAAGAATTGCTTTGAAAAAAAGGGACAATTAATCTGTAAATAATAAAACTATAAATAAGAAGAGCACAGTGTTTACTGCTGGTAGCACTGCAAATTACATTATCTGGAAAAACTATGTGTCAAAATACAGCAAGAACTATAAAAATTTTTATGTTTTGACTCAGTAATTCCATTCAGGGCAATTTATCATAAGGAAGCAGTTCAATAAAGCAAATGCTGTTTAGTACAGAATTATCTATAACAGCAATAAACACCAAAAAAATGTCCAACAAGGAAAGAAAAGATTAATAAATTATGGTAAATTTAAGAATATAATAAGATTGGAAATTAAAATGTGTAACTATAAGCAGAATGTAGAAACATAGGAAGATATAAGTTAAGATACACAGTTAAGTTAAAAAGGAAGAATATAAAAGCATAGGTTCAATGTGATTGCTACTATTTAAAACCATGTTTGTATGTGGAAAACAAAAACAAGAAGTAAAAGCAAAATTAAAATTTAAATTTAAAATGAAACAGAAATGCAAAGAATTCTATGAAATTCAACCTGGATAGCCATTAATAAAGGTAATGTACAAACTGGGGAAAATAATTGCAATCCTTCATGGAAAAAATATAGTATTTTTGTGTGAATTTTTGCTGCATAACAAAACATCCCAAAATTTAGAGGTTTAAAACAAAAATAATTTATTTAGCTTACGGTTCTGAGGTTGGAATTTTAAACTGGGTATTTGGTTCTTCTGGTTTTGCTCTACTTTCTGCCAGGCTCACTCCTGTTGCCAGGTCTAGATTGACCTTAGCAATGGTGGCTCATCTCTACTAAGACATGTAGGCTCTCCTCCTTTAGGAGGCTGGTCTGTGTTCCAAGAAACTGTGAGATCTCTAGAATCATAGGCATGGAACTTGTACGAGATGACTTCTGCTATATTCTATTGGCCAAAACAAATCCCAAGTGCAAGTTGGAAAAATGCAACTCTTCATAGGAAGAGCTGCGAAGTAATGTTGTAAAGGGCATGAGTATAGAATGAAGTGAAGGCAAGTCATCATTTTGCAACCTAGCCACAATTCTTAATACATAAAAAGTTTTTTTAAGAAGAAAAAATAAAATGTCAACAATTGTATATAAAACAGACTAAAGATATGATCATAAAGCTCACTAAAAAATAAACACAAAAACCTACTAAACATAAAAAAACTTTTAATGTAATAAATGTAAATTTAACTACACTGAGATATTATTTTTCACTTAACAATATAGTAAAAATCCAAAATGTCGAAATATACTCAGTTGGGGAAGCTGTGAGGAAACAGCTCCTTTCATACATTGCTGTGAGACTGTGAAATGGTGGAAAAGAATTTGCCAATATATAGCAAAATTACATATATATTTATTCTTTGACCCAGAAATCTGACTTCTAAGAATCTGTTTCAAAAAATGCAATACAAAATATTTATGAAATTATGTACAATAATTCATTATGTGTAATATTCATTAGAGCACAATTTGCAATAAAGATTGTATGCAAACCCATGTTCATCAATAGGAAACTAGCTGATTAAACTATACTAAACTCATATAGTGGAATATAATGCAACTGTTAAAAGGAAGAAGAGACAGCTCCACAGAAAACTCTAATCTTCAGCATTTAATATTAAGTGCAAAAAGAAAGTCATGCTGCCATTATCTAACAAATCATATGACTGTATATATTTGTTTACACTCAAAAGAAAATGAGAGAATAAATCATAAAATTAGTAAAATACTTATCTATAAGGGTGAGAGACCTATGATAGAGGTTAGACTTCTCTGAACATACTTGCTTTTAGGTGTGTTTTGAACCATATAATTATTCTATAATTATAAGATAAAATTATATCAAAATTTAAAAAAAATATAATACCCCAAATTCAGAAAGCCAAATCTAACTTACCATATATTTAATTACTGGCTCAAACAACAAGAAAAAATAATTTTAAGTGACTAAAAATAGTGATTTTTGCTTGGCCATCCTGAGTAAAATTAAAGACAAAAAGAGCTGGAGGGGAAAAAACTATATATAATTGATTATAACTACACTGTAATCACTAAATATATAAAAATAAGTACATAAGTAATTATGGAATTAATGGAGTTAACCAGATCCCCATAATAGTAAATTAAAATTAGTAATGTCATTAAAACTCATCATTTATTTTCTCTTAAAAATGATATTCATAAGTCTTTCCACTAACAAGACAAAAAGGCCTAGATACAATAAGAAAACATTGATCAAGAGGAAAATAAAAAACAAGAAATTTCAATTTTTATCTCAAAATATCATTTTCCACTAAAAGGAATCAGAAATCATTGAGGCAATAGCTAATTCCAGGTTTGGAAAAGGAAATATTGAAGATGAGCCTGATGGCAAGGAATCCATCAAAGACTACTGTGGTCATCTAAGACTAAAGAAGACCCAACTTGAAAAGCCTCTTCATGCCAAAGTTGGACAAAATGAGTATCAATAAAAATAAAAACTGCAGTGGACTTATGCCAATCAATTATGTTAAAATCCAAGAAAACAAATGATATTTAAATATATATATATATATATTAATCACTTTGGATGATGGTAGATAACTAATTCATTACTTAAAAATGGTAAATTAATGGAAACAATCAAACATTTAATGTGTCTCTCCTACATAAAACAAATACTCCACGTAACAAAATACTTGACTGTAACCTCTAAAGACAGAGACGACAACCCAATATCACGTGCCTCCTGACAGACAATATAACACTACATGTTAAGTTTTTTGCCAAACATTGCAAGCCTGATCAGATCAAGGCATACAAGTAGTATAATTTTTTTTTATTTCGGCATATTGTAGTATAATTTTTTAAAAATAAACTACAAGAAGAAAAATCAGTAAAAGAGGTAATTTATACATTAATAGATGTGCAAAAAATGAACACATTGTTTGGATTCTGATTCAAACAAACCAAATATACACAAACTATTGTTTAATTGGGGGACTTTGACCAGGAACTTGATTTTTGATAATATCAATGGGTTGTTTCTAATGTTTTTTTAGATATGATAATATTGTGGCTATGTTTAACAGGGAATCTTTACCTTTAGCGATATATGCTGAAATATTTACAGATAAAATTATATAATGTGTCAATTTTTAAAAAAATAATACCATTCTGAGTTGACAGAGTAGGAGGGAGTAGAGATGAAGCAAGACCAATAACAAGATATATGTCATATCTTAGATGCATTTACCCACTCTCAAAAGGGACAAATACCAATAATGTCTTGCAAATTTTCTCCTTGGAATATTTTCTATGTTGACATGATTGAAAGGAAATAATGTTAAAAATTCAGTTTTGTAAATCAAAGAGGATTTCACAAATTTTATCAAATATTATCCAAAAAGTTCAAACTTAATGAAATTGTATCTGTCTCATTCCATCCTTCCTCTCTTATTCTCTTTTTTTACACTTATTCCCTATTGTTTGAATTTTATATTATTTTTCATGTTATTTACTTTTTGCTCTCCATTTATTTCTTTATCAAATAAATTCATCTAGAAGGAACCTTTATTGTAGAAGTGCTATATGAATGTCCATGGTGAGTATCAAACTTCAGAAAGTTGGACCTAGTAGTAAAAATATTCAACTGCAACAGTTACTCTTTAGTACAGCTTTTTAAATAGTTATCTACTGGTTTATGTATAAGATTCAATCACAACAGTAACACCAGAGTTCTCACATGGTCCACTGTTAAATAACTCAGCATAATAAATTTAGCTGTTTTCTCATGAACCACTGATGCGCAAAAATAATTTCCTGCTAATCAGTAATAATGACTATATACCCAATGAGTCACCGTTACACTTTAAGAAGAAGACTGTGCTAATGCATGAATAATTATTGACCTGATTAAGTGTCCAATCCTGCTCTTGGGGAAAAAAGTGCACATCATTTAACAATTCAGCTGTATATTGTCTGTGCGATAAAAGCAAGAGGTAATTTGGATAACTAATGCACCAGCTAAATTCTGTTAGGCAGTTCCCAAAAGTAGATGATTTCCATCACCCTTAAACATTTCAGGAACCTACATTTTTCTCTGCCTTGTGTCCTTAATGCGCTGCCAACTATTTTCTTTTTCTTTTTTTTTTCCTAGAGGCAAAGGGAAAAAAGAATTAGAGAAAATGAAGTAGATGATAGGGTTTTATCTGTCTCTCAGTTAAGAGGGCTTGGGGTTCAGAGAAAAAGCTATTACAAGTTAGCACTACAGAACATTCCTCTGCAGGGCTATGTTTGAATGCTATTAGAAAGGTAAGCCTTTTTGGGAAACAAGAAACACACAGGATTCCATTCCAGATATTTAACAAAGACCAAGTTGGACTGTGATGAAGAGCTAAGAGCTATTATTTGACAGGTTACTGTTGTCTCTAATCAAATTGCTAGTTCTGTTTGTTTCCCTAAAATTATCCTCCATTAAGTACAGAGAGCAGTTTTGTTCTCCAGAAATGTCTTGACATTGTAAATCAGATCAGAGATATAAAAAGTGCTGCAACCTGGAAAGGATAACAATACTCCATTATGAATGAGTGTGGCAAGATTGTGAAAGCTACATTAATAGCCAGATAAATACAATGAGTCACAAAAAAAAATCTTAAAATTAAGATTTACCATGAAGAAATAAAGTAGTTTGACCCCTGCAGCAAGCCAGTTGGAATAGCATCGTGACAAGACTCATCATATACCACTATTTAAAATTGTAAATTCTACTGTGAGAAAGGGAATTAATCCCCAATCAGTTAAGGGACATGAACAGCAAAGTAATGTTTTCCTTTCAAAGGAGGTATTTCTCACCCACGATGATAGGAGGTGTCCATCACACAGACTACACCAGAGCTAGCTAAATAACAATAGAAAGTATCCCTGCAACTGACGTGTAACCAGAATAACTTTGGGGACCATGATGGGTGACCCAAGGGCCTTGCACAATAACTGAAAACCTTTATTGCGACTCTGGAGAGGGCACAACATTTTCAATGAAAATGTTGGACACACTTGGACATAAGATGGAAAACAATGAAAAAGCTAGAGCCACCTTCCTTTTGAGCATGCTCTTTTTGTATCAGATCTGCCCATTTCAAACTACTCACTTTAATTTTAAGGGCAAATGTGAAGCTACCTCAGAGGCACTTCAAAACAACAGAGTAATACTGAGTTTGGATCTCATGAAGCAAGTATATCTATAAGTTGTTTGTACTTCAGCATTAACTCTGGGCTTTAATCATTTAACCTTTCAACTTCTTGTTTATTGAATGCTATTCTCTCACATCATGCCATAAGAATACTACTGAGTTTCCCATTGTATTACATTAATTATTGCTAAGAATGTTCTGCTAACTTCAGACTGTAAATAATACTTCTGTATTATAACACAAAATAATAATTATTCTTCATTTCGATGGCTCTTGGTCATTAATAAAATGCATATATAATTATCAGTATACTCTGTTTAGAAAGATAAATCAATATGTAATATATTTTAGATTATTGCCACGCCAAATATCAAAATATAAAACTGTAATGAGTAAAGGATAATTTGATTTATCAGGAAAATTTACTGGTCTGAAGCTATTTATTCTCCACCGTGTTTTACAAATTAGGCACTACAATATCAGCATAATAATACTTACCAAAATTCAATATAGATATTTTGAACCCTAAAGAGACTAATATGGTGTTTCTTTCTCTGGAATAGACTCTTTCATATTTGCCTAGGTATAGATGAAACAGAAATGATTCTGAATGGTGCAAGAAAAATGATGAAGATGAAGATACCTTAATGTTTTTGCATACAGAGATGAAGTTTATATTTCTCTTGGATTGATTCAGACAACAGGCTTCGTGTTGCTCATGAGTTCTGAGGAGTCTGTTAGTCTGCCTCTATCTTAATTCTGAACCCTTCTCTTCAGGGCTTGAATATCAACAGATCTGAAATATATATCCTACCCTCCAGACCAGTTAAGCCTTTGGATTCGGCTAGCGCATATAAATGCATACTCTTTATCTCATTGGTAATATGAAAATATATCTCCCTTACCGGAATTTTATTAACATTATCAATTCTCCCTTTTGATTGGAATCACTAACTTAGTGAGATTCGCCTTCACGGTGCTGCAAGGAAATATGAGATCACTTCCTACCTCTCTTTCTCAAAGTTGTTCTCAAGGCCAGAGTAACTTTGAAACTCCACTGCAATTACGCATTCTTGGGGTATAGCAAATTAGTGCATGGTCTAGAGTAGAGAAGAAGGAAAAATATGTTGGTGCAAGAAATCTTTTACTATATTTTAAATATCAAGTTGAATATTTGCTTATAATCATAGGTCAAATCTTTAAAAAAATTTCTTTGTCCACCACTTTCAAAAAAAATTTGAAATGAAAATCAGAGAAATAGTAAAATTTTAAAAACTCACCAGAAGAACTAATTTGGATAAATGAGGGGTGGAGAAACAAAAATATTATGCCAGAAAAACTTACTTAAGGAAAAGTATTACAGTATTACGAAAACTTCCTGTCTAGTAAGAGAAAAAGGAAAAGCCAATACTTGCATTGTTCTCATTATCAAAATTTAGAAAACTGATTTTTACAAGAGATAAAGTTTCCCCAGCACATAAAATCTAAAAGGAACAAGTAGTCGACACATTTTTTCTGTGGACCAACACAGGTTTCCTTGAGATCCCATAACAAGGAGCCCATAACAGGCTAGCACAGGCTAAGACAAAGAGGTTTTTCGCTCTTTGCTTTGATACATTTGACAATATATTTTTTTAAAAATACAAGGTATTACCAAATATTACCAAATAACTTCTTAACTTTGTTGCGTCTCTTGGATGATGTTGTATATTCCTGCATGGAAAGCAAACTTAGCACAATTAAGGCTTGTGATGGTTAATTTTATATGTCAATTTGAGTGGGACATGAGGTGCCCAGACATTGCTTCTGGGTGTATGTGTGAGGGTGTTTCCTGAGGAGACTAACATCTGAATGGGTGGATGCGGTAAAGTGCATTGCTCTTCCCAATGGCAGTGGGCATTATGCAATCCATTGAAGGCCCCAATAAAACAAAGTCAGAAAAAAAGAGGAACTTGCCCATTTTTCTGCCTCATTGTTTGAGCTGGGACATCTCATCTCATCTTTTCCTGCCCTCAAACTGAGATTTACTTCATTAGCTCCTCTGGTTCTCAGGTTTTCAGACTCAGAATGAATAATTACATGACCTGCTCTCCTGGGTCCTAGGCCTGTAGCTTGCAGATATGAGATCATGATTTTTTTAACCTCCATACATGTGTGAAGCAATAATCTTATCTGTATATCTATCTATCTATCTATCCATCTATCCATCTATCTGTCTTCTATTGGCTGTGTTTCTCTGGAGACTCATAATACAAAGTTCAAAAGGATAATTTCAGTTACCTAATATCTAAAATTTTGCTTTACTTCCATCACAGGCTGTTACCCTTTCATTATTCTTATCGATACTTCCAATACTACAAGAAGAAAAGGAGACAAAAGGTTCCTTCTATAACTTCTTTGAAACTCACTTCAAAGATTTAGTGGGGGAAAAAAGATTAGAAACAGAGACCTAATTGAGCTTTACCAGACACTGTAGATTTCTATAATACAGTCTTTCCATGCCCTCTTATAAATCATTTCAATTTAGCAGGCATTTACTGAGCATCCTCAAATGACTGTGCTCAGGCACAGGGCTCAGAGAGTGCTAGGAACGGTGAGGATTGAAAAAGAAGTGCATGGAGTGACTTCTTCCTAGAGAACCATATATTCTTAAAGAGAGAGAACACCCATAGATTATTAAAAAAAAAAAAAAAGGAGAAAACTCTTATATAGCAAATGGTAAGGACACAAGTAAAAAATACAAACATAGTAAGATTAGAGGAGAAAAACTCACAGAAGACGAAGCATTTGGACCAGACTTTGAGATAAAATTGTTAATCTAGGCATAGGGAACAAACAACATCAGCCAACACATGGAGAAAAGAATAAGTATTGGATTATTGTTGGGGAGTAAGAATTGAATACTGGGAAAATTGGAGAGCTGACAGCAGGTTATAAACATGGATAGTAATAATTAGCAGTAAAATAAAGAATGATGTTATACAGTTGTTAGAGAAAGAAGTATGGAAGTTTCCCTAGATTAGTAATTTATATACTATATGTCATCAAATCTTCTTATACTATAAACTGAGACATTGTTTTGTTTCCATATCTAAGTGAGTCTGCAGAAATTGCAAAGGTAAATTTTATTTCCTCTCCATACTGACTGGCGGAGTGAGTCAGAAATCCTGGCAAGCTCTGAGGGCAATACATATTTTACTTTTGCTTAAAAACATTACCAGCTATTAAAATAATTCTCTTCATTTCATCTGTTATACAATAGACAGGAAACGCATGGAAGGAAAACACATATACCCAGGATCCATTAGTCTTTTCACAGCTGGAGAGAAATGAAACCCTGCTTTTATCAAAGTAATTGGGTTATTATATGAGACTAACTTCACTCCAAACCCCTTTCCTCTCAGGAGAATTCATAAGCGACCAGCTTTTCATATTTCCACCAGACTACACCCCCTTTTAAGAACATTTATTTTATACCTTAATAGATAATACATATATTTTGTAGCTTAAACTACCAGCTTATTATTCATTCAGTAATTAAGCATGTACCCACTCTATTTCAGGTGCTCTTATAAGGATAGAAATACGATGATAAACACAGAGACCTAAAGACCCAGGCATTGCAGAACATACACACCAATGAAGAAAGTGAGCAACAAAGAAGTGAGCCAAAAGCAGATATGATGATTTCAGGCTGTGGTTGGTGCTACAAAGAAAATAAGCAGGGTGATATAATAGAAGGTGATGGGAAGGAGTCAAGATCTACCTTTGAACAAGGTGGTCAGGAAAGTGATCCCTGAGGAGGTACCTTGGAATTTAGCCTTAGGGATGTGAAGAAACAGAGGAGGAAGCAGAAGAAGAACATTCTAAACAGAATAGCAAATGCAGTAGTCCTGAAGTAGCTGCACAGAGCCTGGTGTGTTCAAGTAACAGAAAAGGGAACTGTATAACTTGGCTGCAGGAAGTAATACGTGGAATTAATTGCATGAACTTGGAAGTTGAGAAAAGATGCCATTGTGTGCAATTTTGTAGGATTTACTTACAAAATTAGGAAGAAAAGAGTGGATCAGGCAAGACGTTGAGGATTACAAAAGAAAAAAAGAAAATGATCCTCATATAAGGTTAAAAAGAATCTTCTTAAACCTTCTTGTCTTGACAAAAACTGTTTAGTTTGCCAGTTTCTTAAGTAGGGAATTTTATTTTTAATTAGCTATTTTAAGCTGCAAAAGGCTAACAACAAAACGAATTAAAATATTATTTTCTCTTTGTCCTGGACTTTTTCCAAGAATGTATATACAAAGGAATCTAGGTGGAAATTTTTCAGACCATTACTCAAATAAATTAGACAAGTGTTTATTAATCACTTGCTATGTACCTCACTATCTCAGGCACTGTAGATTTACAAAAGAAGACAGAAGGCATGCTTTCTATCTCCACAGAACTTTTAACCCCTTTGAGAAGACCTCTATATAAATGTAAAATTAGAGAGCAATGCTATGACAAATATGTCAGCAGAAAGGACTAGAGCACAAATTGTACTCTTAATTTTTTTTTTTTTTGAAGACTGTGAAATGATATAAATACCACTGTGGGGTGAATTCATCTAAAAATATTGTATGAAGTAGTTGAGACAAAGTCCAATTATAAAAAAGGGGAGGTGGATTTCTAAATAAGGGGTAACATTCACTAAGTTGGAATTTAGTATTGGGTTTCTATGGGAAAGTAGAGACTCTGGCTAAAGGTTTGCCCTAGAGAATGAAAAGACTGAGGATAAGTAAGCAAGGAAGGGCAACTTAATAGAAGGCCTGTACAATAAAACTCAGGAATTTGCATGCTCAGGAGAAAACTGCCAGACTTTTAAACAGTAAGCATAAAAATGGATTTTTTTTCTGATAACATAAAACAAGCATAGCAAACACATATAGTGCTTCCCATATGATAGATACTTTAAATAGTTTCCTTAATATCCTTATAATAACTCTCTGAGGTAGATCATTAACTCAGGTAACAGTAAGGAAACTGGGGCACCAAGATTATCTAACTTGATTATTGTCATCATAGAATCTTTCATAAAACCAGGCAAGGAAACTCACAAGGTATCTCTTTCTGGTTAGGATTTTGACATTTTCAAATATGAGGCACTGCACCTAATCTATGAGCAAATGAGGTAAAGCAAAAGGAGGCCAGAGTCAAAGATCAGTATGAAGGGCATGGCACTTACAAGTAGGGGCTGATACCTCAGTGCTATATATAGTGAGAATGGGGAGGAAGGTATAGCCATAAGGGATCTTATAAAGAGTGATTGTTCAAGCTTAGTAAATATGCATATACCAAGTGAACGAGAAGAAGGAATAACAAATGTGTTCATTTAGGAAACTTGGAGGATAATAGCGTATTTGGCACAAATGTAAAAATTGAAGATAAGAGTTACTTAGTGGTGAGAAATGATGGGGCTCTGTACATACAGATGTAAAAACTTCCCTGGGAAGCTATTCACAGGTGGCTGTGAAGCAGTCAGAGAACCATTTTAGAGCATCATACCAAGTAGAATTTAAATCAACGTAATGTCACTCTCATTGTCTTTTTTAGCTTCAAATTTTACTTCAAAGATTAAGATCAAGAAGAGATCTTGGTTTAACTTTAGATGAACTGCAGCAGCTGTGTCTAAGACCAGTCATTCTCGCAGGTGATGGGGTCAAGCTCTACGGTTAGCATGACATTTTATTCAAACCAAGCTGCCCATCTGCTCTCCTAGGCTAATAGTGCTGTCGTTCACAAAAAGAGCATATCCTGATCACCTATGACTAGATTTCGGAAGCAGACAGGCAAGAAATGATGGATGGTTTTGCCTCAGCAAAATGAAGAGTAGGAATGGGGGAGGATGAAAACGGGAGTGAAGGAAGTTTATTAAAGAGTGAAATAAAGGCCAGCTTTCCCTTAATTAACCTTTCGGTTCTTTTCTGTTTCATCCCTCTTGTCGTGGGGCTTACCCCCCTTGAAAACTTCCATCTCACTTTGATTTTAAAGCTGTTTTAGCACAGTAATGATGCATAAGGTAACTATATGCTAAATTTTCCTATCCTTCTATCTCAGAAGACCCAGGACAATAGATTATGATTGGTACTGATATAGTAAAATCACAGGGATAGTCCTTGAGTTTTTAAGATAATCAATTTGCTTATGATCCTCTTCTGACCATCTTTCCTTTTCCTCTCACAAGAAAAAACAAAAGAACAAGAACAACAAAGTTAAGTTATTATAAAACTTACTTTAAGTCTTGAACTGAGTCTGCCTTGAAGACAGATCAGTTTAAACTTCTTTGAGTTGGCAATAATCCCATAGAAAAAAATTACTGTATTCGGGAGCGAGTAAAAGGGAATCTTCCCTCTCAAGCCACAGAGATGCCATATGTTCCACAGTTCATGAGGTGAACCGGGAAGATAAATCTTGAACAGCCATCCTAGTTTCACTTCAGCAAGTCATCAATCTACAAATAATAACCTGAATAAAGATTCATGGCACAAACCTAACATTTCATTTCACTGATGTCGCCTGCATAATGCAGATACTTTGGGACCAATATCTAATTTGTTACCAGATTTTACTCAAGACATGTATTTATGTAATAGAAAAAGCAGACTCTTGTATCACGTGTGATATATGTTACAGTTTACTTCCTTGCCTACTAACACCATATCACTTTTGTACATTGCAAATGAAATCTATAAAACTATAGACTGCAGATTGTCTTTTAAACACTGTAGCCAGAAGGAAAATAGCTAACTACTATCTGTAATTCTTATGTCACATCTTTTATATTTCATTTTTTTCTCTTTTATCTTTTTCTCTTATTTTTTTCCTTTTTTTCATTCATGAGAAGAATCTGAAACCCTTAGGTTCCACAAAGCCTTATTTGATTTTCTATTAGCTCCATAGATAGCCAGCAATCGAAATAAAATTGTACAAAAACATCAAGCTATTATTTTAAACCTGGATAGGCTACTAACTATATGGCTCTGTGAAACATATTCAATAGACAATGTTTCCTTTTGTACTGACTTGCAATAAATTTGGCATTTCCTTTATGAAACAGCTTTCAAGTTGTTCAAAATGGTTGCAATTTGAAGTTACAAATGGTTTATTTATGTCTTTATATATGTTTACCAAGACCCAGTCATCAAACTTTGTGCTATTCACAAAGGCAGAAAGTATTAATTCTAAAATATAATATTCCTTAATCTCTTGTGGTAGTATTTTGTCTGACAAATCCATGGACTTAGTAGCTGGCTTAAAAGAAATAACACAATAATAACAACACCAGAGGCCTCTCCACTTTAAGGAGACCGAAAGCAACTTGGTCTTCAGGACGGCTGACAGGTTACAGCCACGCAGGCAGCATTTGGGATACAGAGTGATTTTATTATTAGATCCTCTTACCTCATCTTCAAAGTCTGTGTGGCAGTAACTCAAATTCAGGTCAGTTACATCTTCTTATGTAGAAAAGTTACTTTTGAGCGACCACCATGGCTCATGCTTGTAATGCTGGTGTTTTGGGAGGCCAAGGAAAGAGGATTGCTTGAGGCTGGGAGTTTGAGGTTACAGTGAGTAAGATCATGCCACTTCACTCCAGATTGGGTGACAGAGTGAGACCCTGTCTGTGAAAAAAAAAAAAAGTTACTTTCCTATAATAGAGTATCTGTATGTGGTGAATGGCATGTTAATGACGGCATCTGCGGTACAGTTTACAACAAAGTTACAACCATTTTTTCATTGTTGGTTTTGCTATCAAATGATGCTGATAACAGACTCAAATAAATTCTCTTTCCTAACTGGATTGCCTCACTTGGTGGGAGGAGTGTTAGGAAAGATTACTGAAATGAGCTCTCCATTAAAAGGTTGGCATCTGTATTCATGTTTACACACATTAAAAATGACCAGGTTTATTTTTGTTTTTTGTTTTTTCTTTTTTTTCACAGCATTAGCCATTATTCTTCATTCTAGCATATACTAGTAGATAGGAAGGTAGAAAGCCATATGATTGTATCTCGGGTCATATATTGATGTTAAAACCCCCATTTCCCTTTCAATGACTCTTTTAAGTATGGATATTTGACAAAATTTGGGCCAATAGGACAGGAAGTCCACTAGGGACTTCTGAGGAAAGTTTCCTTTCCTCATATCATTTCCTGATATGAAATGAGACATACACACTGATATTGTCATATCTGTCTCTAAGGCCTGAAAGCACAACAGCCATGCTGTAATCACAAAGGGGACCAGGTGAAGACAAGCCCAGCACACGGAGGAAACAGAACAGAAAGATGGAAGGTCTCAAGCTCCTTAATGACACTTTAAATGAACCAACTCAGGAACTGCCCACCTTAGAATATTTTATTATATGAGATTGTAAATATGCCTTATCTATAAGCTATTTGTAAACATACAATAAAATTGATTTTATTTGATATACTATGGATTTTAACATAGGTATAGATTGGGTTAACCACTACCATGATCAGGATACAGAACGGTTCCGTCACCCTGAAAGATCCTTCATGCCATCCCTTTGTAGTCACACCCTACCCCCACTGATGATTTGTTCTAGTAGTTTCACTAACAGGGACTTTCTTAAGACAATCATGTTGTCATGAAAAGGAATGGTTTTATATTCTCCTTTCCAATCTGTATTCATATTGGTTTTTTTTCCCCTTGACTTATTGAACTCAGTAGGACTTTTTCAGTATGATGTTGAGTAGTATGTTGGTAAGAATAAATATCATTGCCTTATTCTCAATCTTAGAGGGAAAATGTTGTCTGTCTCCATTACGTTTAATGTTAGATGTAAATCATTTGTAGAGCACTTGATGAGGTTGAGCAAGTTACTTTATATTCAGTTTGCAGAGTTTTTATCAGGAATGTATTGGGAAAGCATTTGACAAAATCTAAAACATTCGTTTTTAAACTATTTGAGTTAAAATTTTCTCTTATATGCAGCTTAAAACCTCGTAACTAGGGGAAAAACTCCATCATAAATTTGACCATCAAATAGGAGAAAAAGAATAATGAATTCAGGAGGGTTTGGGAAGGTATTCTACTATTTATCAAAATTTATCTAAGAGTGCTTTAGTTTTTTGTCAAAGGGCACTGAATATGTTTACAGTTTTTTGTTTGTTTGTTTGTTTTTTACATCTGAACTTCTCATAATCAGAAGCCATTGGATTAAAGAAAGCCTGGATCTCTTTAATATACAACAGCAAGTGTACAGAGCTGAGATTGCACCAGTCCTTCTCACAAAGGTTTCTTCTACCCACTAGTCTATTGATATAAACTATATTAAGATTTCCCAAATCTCCAAAAGGTTTTTAGACACTCAAAGATCCAAAGTTTCATCATAGCCCACCTTAACCACTTCAGGACCAGCGTCACTGTAGTTGGCAGCCACAGATGAACCCGCACAGCCCAGCATCGACTATAGTCAATAGCCACAGATGAATGCACACAGCGACTTTAGCCGACAGCTGTGATATGACTTTTCTAATTTTTCATTTATCAAAATAAAACTGTGAACATTTAAAAATAACTTAATGAAAATATATATGTATATGTTACCTATTCTGATATTTACATTACAAGTAAAGCTGCCTATAAAGTAAAACAAGCTTTAAGTGATTTAAAGCTTTCTTCATCACACAAGAGCAAAATGGATTCGTCATCAATGCACAGCACAAGCTATCGTGTGGACTATGAGTGCCGGCTGTGGGCAAGGTTTCGCAGCCGGTAAGCGCGGTCCCGAAGTGTTAAGAATGTATGTGGTCGTGTAATAAAGGGAAATGTGGTCCAACTCTGCTTTTATAGACAGGCTTTTGATTGCTTTCCAGTTTCAGAATACAAAATCAGAATGGGTATGATTTATAGTTGATGAAATTCTCACATTGGTGCCCATGATAAACTGGATGCACCCAAATTGAAAAAGTCATAAATTTAGAAGAGCTCAATAGTAAGCCATCCTAAGACAGAAGTAGTACATCTAGGATTGGGCTTAAACAGGTGTAGACTGCACAAACTAGCTGCACAAATGAGTGGTCCAGATCTCTATGTCACCTACAACTTTTGCACCTATGTCTCTCCTTTAGCTTGTATCTATTATCTTACAGAGTGTTCACAGTGATCACCTATCAAAGGAAGAATAAACTCAAGCATGGTTCATAGAAGGGGTCTGCTTGGTATGTCAGTCCAAGATGAAAACTGCCTGATACTGTATTGTAGCCACACTGCGGGGTAAAGACTGTACTGAAAGACAAATGGAAAAATCCTCCAAGGCATAGAGCTTCTGCTGTATATCTGATGAGCCACTTTCTTTTTTCTGAATTTTTTATCCTGGTAAAACACAAGCATAATATTTATCATCTTAAACATTTTTAGTTGGATTAAATAAATTTGCAAAGTTGTATATAACCATCACTGCTATCCATCTCTGACACTATTTTTCATCTTGTACAATTGAAATTCTATACCTATTAAACAATCACCCCCATCCCAGTCCATGGCAGCAACCATTCTTTCTGTCTTTATAATTTTGACGACTCTTAAGTACCTCATATGAGTAGAATCATAGCATATTTTTCTTTTTTTGTGACAGGCTTATTTCACTTAGCACAATGTTCTCAAGATTATCCATATTGCAGCATATGTTAGAATTTCCTTTCTCTTTAAGGCTGAATAGTATTCCATTGTGTGTATATAACTGTGTTTACCCCTTCATCATTCAATGGCTTCATACAGCTTCAAGTTACTGCCCAGTGTCTTTTCATTTTACCCTACAGGACATCACTGAGCATTTCTTACAGGGCAGGTTTAGTGGTAACAAGTTCCCTCAGCTTTTGTTTATCAGAGAAAGCTTTAATTTCTCCCTCTCTTTTAAAGGACAACTTTTACTGCTCACAGTATTCTTAGCTAACAGTTTTTTGTTTGGTACTTTGATTAATCAATGCACTGCCTTCTGCTCTCCAAATTTATTGATAAGAAATCTACTGATAATCTTATTGAGAAACACTTGTATGTGAGGTGTCACTTCTTTCTTGCTGCTTTCAAGAACCTCTCTTTGTCTTTGTTTTTCAAAAGTTCCCTTATAATGTGTTTCCACGTGAATGTCTTTAAGTTCATCTGACTTGGAGTTTATTATACTTCTTGGATGTTAATATTTATGTCTTTCTTTGAATTAGGGGAGTTTTCAGCGATTATTTCTTTACATATTCTCTCTGCCTTTTTTTCTTTATCTTTTTGGTTTTTGGTGGGGGAACCTCCACAATGTATATTTTGGTCTGGTTTAGTACCTCACAGGTTCTTTAGTCTCCATTCACTTTTCTTTATTGATTGTTCTTTCTGTTTCTCATACTTAACTATTTCCATTGTTCTATCTTCAAGTTTACTGCCTGCTCAAATCTTTCTGCCTGCTCAAATACACCTTTGAATACCTATAGTGCATTTTTCATTTTAGTTATTGTATTTTTCAGTTCTAGTATTTCTTTTGGTTTCTTTTTAATTTTTTACCTATTTATTGATAATTCCTTTGTACTCATATATTCTTTTCTTAACTCTCTCCACATTTTCCTTTACTTCTTTGATCATCTTTAAGACAGTTGTTTTAAAGTCTGTCTCGTAGATCTGTCATCGGATATTTGTCAGGGTTGGTTTCTGTTGATCTTCTTTTTCCTTTGAATGAGCAATACTTTCTTTGGTTTTTCTTAATGCTTTATAAATTTTTGTTGAAAACTGGATATTTGAATGTAATACTGTAACTCAAAAAATAAAATTCCCCCACTTCCCCAGGGAACGCTAATTTTTGTTAATATTTTTTATCTTATTTTTATTGTTGTAAGCCGTCTTTATTCCAGGGATCAATCTGAAATGTAAATGTGAGGTGTTCTCAGTCTTTTCTGAGCCTGGACCTTTTGCTGAGTATATGCATTCATTTTCTAATTCCCCCACTATGTTCATAAATATCCTAGCCCTTAATGCCTGGCTCTCAAAAGAATAAAAATAAAAATATGAAGGTAGGGAGGGAATTAGCTCTTTAAATTCTCTGGAAATTACTTCAGCTACAGGGTATGTAGCTTAAAACAATGAAAAACGTGCAATAACAATGTCTACCTGTCTCTTTGTCTGCACTTCTATGATCAAAATCAGCAATGATCATAGTGCAAATCTTTGATATTTGCAGGAACAAGGTCCTTTTTGTGCCCCCCTGGTCCTTCTAGCTGTGTGCCAGCTACTCCAAGAACATGTGCATACCTGCCTTCCATGGGGTTGGAGATGGGGGATGTGTAGTGGCCACTATGCTAAGAGCCGAGTTTGACAGAAATTAACTGCATGTCCAAGCCTTCTCCTCAAAGTTGCAAGCCTTGAATAAACTCCTGAGTTCCAAAACAGTTACATTAGACAGATTCTGCCAGTGCAATTATTATCTAGATGGGGAACCAGATTCTTGGTACTTCCTATTCCACCATCTTCTTCTAAGTTACTTTTTGTAAAGAGAAGATTGGGCCATGGTAAGGATTTACATATATTTATG